CATAACTTTCTTTAGTTTATTTGATCGAGCCTCACCCTCAATTCTTGTGTTCATCCTTCAGGATAGATACAAGATTTGAGGTAAATTGCTCTTTCATCTAAACTATGAAAATTATGAGGTCAGTTTGACTTCATCTTTTTCAAAACCCAACTTTTTCAACGTCCTTCCGAAGCGGGCAACGGGATTTCAATTCCGATGACCGACAGCTTCTTACGGGCAAACCCCACACCAAAAATAGTGCCGACACTACCTCATTAATTTGGGCTAATAAGACACCAAAGGATTCATCTAAAGTAACAATACAAAAGATTAACGACCTACCTGAGATAGAGGTCACCAATACTATGGGTGTCACTAGGTATTATTTTATGCTTTCAAAGGCTTGTTGGTAGTAATCATCCAATTGGAACTTGATGTTCTTCTTGGTTGCAACATGAATGGATGACACCTACCAAAAATGTTAGAAATAAAGCATCTTAGGTATGCTAGCCTACCCTGGAAGGATCTCAATTATGTTAGTCTTTTGGGAGGTGACTTTTTCTAATATCACTTTAATCTTCTCTTGATCATTTTCAATTCTACAATGTTACACTGCAAACCTTAAAAATTTTCTAGAAGTTATGTCAAAGGTGCATTCAACAGATTCATTGTCTAGTTTTATAGATGTAAATATTCAAAAAAAAATTCAAGTCATATAAGTGGTATTCTCTTTCTTTAATCTTAACCACTGGGTCTTCAATGTAGCATTCAACTTGTTTATGGATAAGTTCGTCAAAGACCAAGATCATGGCTCATTGGTATGTAGCACCAACATTTTTTTGGCTGAAAGGATTCAAAGCATTTACCATGTAAACGTTGCAAAACCAACCTACTCAGACATAGAGATGCAAAGCAAATGTGGAATAAAAATGAAGTTAGTCACACCCTTTTTATAAGAATAATGGGTATAAAAATCTAGGAAGTTCAATTATTAAAGCTTTGATTACGAGATAAATAATATCTACTTTTGCATTTAATTCTCTTATTTTTATAGAAGTCGTCACTTTTCAGAAGGGAATTGAGGAATTAAAATAAGTACATCAAGAGTGCACTAGCATAAATCTTGAGGAGATCCAACAGACTAGGTGACAAAAAAACACAGCTAAAGTGGGCTCACTGACGAAAGACCAAAGGACCCACTTGAACATATGCAACCCTTTAAACTGATGTTGGAGGCTGACCAAATGTAGGCCACATGAACCAAGGACTACGACCAATCAAGCAGAGTAGAGGCATCAATCTACTTATCACCGCAACCAGATTCAACGGAAGAATTCAGTATCGCCAACAGTCTCATAGAGACCCCTAAGATTCCTCATTTGGGGCCAAGATTTGACAACAACATAACCACAGACATCTAAAAGGATTCCCTAATCAAAGAATGAGTTATACATCATATTATATTGATTCAAACTCTGCCCGATAGCCTAGTCTCGTTCTGCTAACACTCCAAGGATTAATAGTAGACAACCAACCTAAATAGTCAACCGATAAAGACAAACCAATCAAGTCAAGTCTTGCCGAGAAGAAGATCGTCAAATGGCAATTGAAAACCTTGATTCAACACATTCAGACGAATATATCTTATCTAACAAAGGTCCACTGATTTCAGCTGACGGAGTCGGAGGGCAGTCGAGCCGTAGGTGAATACATATAAAATACCTAAAATATATTGTAATACCCCCAAAGCAGGGATAAATATTAAATTTGCATATTATACTTCCACCTCTATAAATAGTGGAATTTTTTTTTTATGAGAAATGACTAATCAACAAATTAGATTATTGTTCATTACCATGCATGTCTCTGTCTTTCTCTCGTATCATGCTTTATTTTTTGGATGTGATCCGCAGACAAATCATGATTCAATAATATGATTATCATGTGAATAATAAAACAATAAATATATAGCTCAAAATAGTTCGCTTAGCCAAATATCTAATTGAGAAACTAGTTTTTCAACAATCTGGTATTCAACAAAGTTAAATTTATCTTAGAAAAAAAAAGGTGGGATTTTTAGCTGAACCATAAACGCTTCACTATGTACCTCTCAGTGAAGCTTTTTCACCTCACAATTTTCTGGTAGGAAAACCTAGTTCTCCACATCTTCAGCTCAGTAGTCCTGTTTCTTTTTCTTTTTCTCATACCAACTTTCTTCGTTAACTCCAATTTCCTATTTTATTTGTCTGCCCTCGCTTCTCTCAAGTAAGTGATCTGTGCTAAATTGCTCTCGTTTCCTCAATTCGTCTTTTACTCTACTTTGGTCTTTGAACAGAGTTATTTTTCTAGTACTCTTCTATCAAAATCATCTCTTTGTTTCTGGTTCATTAAGAACTTTGATCGTAGGATTGGCGGCTACTTGCGGATCGCGTGGAGGTTTCCTTCTATAAAGTTGTCTAGATCTGCCGTTTCAGTTACGAACATTGCTCATTTCTCATCTCAACGTATTTGTGATGTAATCTACACGAGTTATACTTTTTTTTGCTACTGAACCCTAACTTCCTGCTACCTCGGAGTAAAGGTTTGGGTTTGAGGATTCCCTTGTGGATTGCATTACAGCCAATCTTACATTTGAAATTTGCTTGTTGCATGATTTTAGAAAACTGAAGTCTGTGATTAATTGCCACCACTTGCCTTGGATTCTGGCCAGATGTTTGGGGTGTGTTTCTGGAGAGGTTGAAAGGTTGGTTATTAGTGGCGAAAGGATTAATTGATTTACTTGGTGGATTTTGGAACTTTGAAGAAGTATGCGGAAGAATGGAAGTGCACACTCAGGAAGGCCTTTTAGTGATAGAAGATGGCTTCTTCCTTTCTTAGCAAGTTTATTGGTCTCTGTTACTTTATTTTTGGCGATTGTATTTGGGCTTTTCTCTCCTTATAGCGTGGATTCACATACTTCAGAGATTGCATTGTTCGCTGGTATGGATGATTCTGTTGGATATCCAGTTGATTTGGAAAATAATAAGGAAGTAGAGAGGCTTTCTATTGCGGAAATTGAAGCACCGCGGATTGCTTATCTTCTCACTGGAACAAAGGGTGACAGCCAGCGAATGAGGAGGACACTACAAGCTATATATCATCCAAGAAATCAGTATATTCTTCATCTTGATCTTGAGGCTCCACCCCGGGAAAGGATTGAGTTGGCAATGTATGTTAAGGGTGATCCAGTGTTCAGCGTCGTTGAAAATGTTCGTGTTATTGCGAAAGGTAACCTAGTGACTTACAGGGGTCCTACGATGATTGCATGTACTCTTCATGCCATTGCAATCTTATTGAAAGAGAGCTTGAAATGGGATTGGTTCATAAACCTCAGTGCTTCTGATTATCCCTTAATGACGCAAGATGGTAGGTATTGTTCTCTACTGATCTATTTTTTATTTTTGATATTAGGATACATTTGGTAATAAAAATTATGATGCTTTTATTTCTCAAATGGATTGATATGTAGTCTCAGCCATGTGCTTTTCCTATTTCATAACAAGAAAAATTTCTTTGGTTGTTGATAATAAATTTGGAATTCTACTAATGGGAAATATGCAAATAGCAAAATTTTGGATATCCATTCGAAAAAGATCTAAATGGTTTTCACGAAGCCTTTAGGGCAATACATACAAGCAAGCTTTTTCATTCTTAGCCTTATTTGAAGTGTTTGGTTTTTGACATTGACAAACAAACTTTGTTCGCGTTGATGAGTAGCACAAACATCTGCTATTTCCTTGTAGAAAACATCCCATTTGCCATTAGGTATGCCCTTATGAAGCATTACGTGCTCATATACATGGTCTGTCTTCAAATTGAATTAACTGATAGCATAAAACATATACTTTTTTTTTTACTTTATAGCAATAAAATAATTTCAGTTTTATGACTTGTGATAAGTTTTCCGTATGTCTTTTGGTGTTCCTTATATCACATGCTTGATGTTTCTTTTTGCATTTCATCGCCACAGGACATGTTTTAAATAATATAATGTGCGTGAAATTTCTATTTGAGCCCACCAAATCAAATTTTTAGTACTTCAAAGCTTTCAAGCTTGTCAATGGGAGCTTGATCTATAAATTTTATAATATTGAATACATGCATGCGCGCACGTGCACACACAGGGTTGCATGTGCTCATTCACACCCCTTTGCACGTATGTGTACACATGTGCACAACCACACGTACATGTATACATATATGTATATTTGCATGGTGAACATGTGTGCATGCATTAAATTTAAATGATTTTGGCAACAGTTGTACCCTGCTTGCAAGTCCTACAAGATTCTAGTAGAAAAAATAATATATATATGCATGTATATTTGTATGTGTGTGTGCGTCTATGTATATATATATATATACATACAAAAAGAGAGAGAGAGAGAGAGAAGGTGCTCAAAATCATTATCTTCCCACAATATTTCCCTTTAATTATGTATTAAGTAATTCCTCAAAGTGGAATGAGTGACCCCTCAAATTATAGTGAATGGTCTTAGCAGGTATACCGTGCTCCTAACGAGCACACCTTAACCTTTTACATATCATTGATATACTTCTAATTTCTCGATTTTCTTATATATTTAGCAAATAATATAAAAAAGGAGAAGAGAATTAAGTAAATCATTTATTATTTTTATTGAATAGTAAAAGAAAAAGGGATAGATTTTGTTTTCATATTTTATGCGTATAATGGGAAGTGTCCCAATTGATGCTTTAAGAATGATTTTGTTTTCGATGCTCTTATACTGACCTATAAGTAAGCGTTGAGTCTCTTTATTTGTTGCTTCTTGTTCTCTCTCCCTCCTATCTCTTTTGCATTACAATTGCGTTCTATTTGTTCAAGAATAGCCAGGTCATCTCTAATGAAAGTCTTGATTATTGCCAATTACAATTTACAATATACGTCAAAGTAGGTTCAACTAATGAAAGCAAGTTCAATTAGATGGTGAGGAGAGGTCTAGCTTGCTTGTTGTGAGGAGAATAGTGAAAGATGGTTTGAGGAGGATGGGGGTGAACTGGATTTTGATCTTTGTTAGATGGCTCCTATCTCTACTCTATTGACCATCCTACATCGAGCGTTCCTGCGGTGAGTTGAGCTCCATCTTGGTGGTGCATGCGACAACTCTATCTCATGCTATCCTATCTTATGCAGAATAATTGAATTTTTTAAGTAAGAAAACTTTTTAATTTTTGCATGGATTCATTTATCTTATAAGGGTAGCTAACAACTCTTTCGAATCCTAACAAAAGTTGAACAACCACAAATCGCTTGTGGAGGTAAAATTGGTTAGTTTCCTTCATTACAGAAGGTTATCATAGGGAGTCTTGTCCCAAGTGGACCCACAAGTCATCTTACTATGATTGAGCTCTTAGAAATTGACCAATAGATTTAATGGCTATAACTCTTTCATGTGTGACCTTTGACTCCTGTCCCTAGGTAGAAGATTTGTGGCGACACCTTGTTAAGGTTCCTCTTGATAGTTTTATGAGTAGAGAGTTTTTATTTCTTGATTTTTTGATAAATACCATAAACGTTACTTATGTGAAAAAGGCTGGAAACTTTAATTGTGTTGGGGAGACTTCCTTAATGGTTGGGGTGAGTATGTCTCTTGGGAGACTTTCTGACTATTTATCCCCCATAAACCTAGAGACCCGCGATTTGGCACCTTTAACGATACATGATTCCCATGACTTTGCTTCATCGTATTCGATGGAGTGTATGGTGTTTGAGATTGCTATGTTGAAGTATTCTCTAACTTCCCCACAAGGCCAATTTACGTATCCTTGAGAATCAATTTAGTTTGGGGCTAGTGTTACGGAAGAGGCAAAAAAAGTTTTGCATTTCTTGAGGAAAAGATTGGTTTCTTAGTAGTCCTATGTTGCAACATCCATTCGTTGAGAAGCTCAAGAATTAAAAGTTGCAATCATCATTATTCGCAAGTTCATGGAGTCAACTGATTCACATCATTTTTTGGTTGGGTATTATTTTACAACTGGTGAGGAATGTGATTATTTTCTTTGATGTACTCTTAAATCTGATTCATAATTTTTTCTTGATAGTAAGTAGGTTTAGAGACACCCTCATATGATTATTTCTAAGGTACTCTAACATACTCATTCTAATTATTGTGGTTGTTGTTTATTATAAGTACTATTCAATTCATCTGTGCATGTGTTGAGTTTTTATTCAATATTCTTGCAATATACTTATTCTATTGTAATGACAGAAAAAGATTTATTTTGAAATTCAATTTTTTATTTTTTTGATTTTACGTTTCCTTCAATACCCCGTCTTCTCTCTATAAATACTTCAAGTTTTTGGCACTTGATCTGTGGTGCAAAACACATACATTCACACAAGTGTGAGTGTCGTTCAAGTATTATAAGGATTAGAGTTTGAGTTATTGATCCAACATAGAACTATGTTAACTCATGGAGTATTAACTTAACAAGTTTATACAAGGCTTTCACTAAATTTTTGAAATTAAAGTTAAAAACAGTAGAAAATAAATTCTGTTTTTTTATGTTTTAATTTTTTTTTTTATGAATGATTCCTTTGAATTAATTAGTATTTATTTTAAGTTTTAAATTATCAAAAAGTCCACTAAGGAAGTTGACAATTGAGGGCAAATCACCCCTTAGTCTCTTCCAAGTTGTTTAAAAGCATGGAAGTTTCATATTATACTTTAGTGCCCTAAATCACACAAAAACTCCTAGATTTCACAATCCTCCAAAGGTTGAACTTTTGAAGTAACAATATGCCTATTCTATCATAGGAATGTAAGTTAACCTAGTTGTTTAACTAGTTTTCTTTCAAAATTTCTAGATTATGATAAGTATTAACGATCGAGTGGCTAATTTGATTGTAAATTAAGCATTGAAAATTAGCACATCAATTTATCTCAAGCAAATCTGAAATAATTTAAAAGCTTAACTCAATTACCAATCCAAAAGATTGCAAATTTAGTTGTAAGTCATTTCCACAAATACCATCAAATTTGTATAACCTTAACGCAAAATAGTAGAGAAAAGAGGGAAAATTACACCTGGACTCCACTTCATGTAAACTCCATTGTTCTGCTGAAATTTTCCTTCCATAGTGCTATTTAGTCCTCTTCTCTCACTCTCCACACTCAAACATGTACTATACTTATAAATTCTCTCCGCACACTTTCTACACACTCTTTAGCCTCTAGAATCTCTCGTTGACACTAATGCCTCTTTTAAGTGATTCCACACATTCCAACCATCCTTTCCCTCAAAATCTGAACATGTGGATAGCCGGTGCCTAGACTTTCTGCTCTTGGGAAAGTCCATGTTAGGAAATCCCAACATGGAGCCCCCCTCAAAATCTGAACATGTGGATAGCCGGTGCCTAGGCTTTCTGTGGGAAAGTCCATGTTAGGAAATCCCAACATGGCGCCCAGGCTCTGGGGCACAACGCTAAGATGCTCCATCGAATTTCACCTTTACTTACTGAATTTATTTTTAAGGATTTTTCTGCATAAAAAAATACAAATTTATGTAATAAATGAAGACAAATATGGAAGAAAGAAAGATATTCACATAAATATTGTATATATTTTTTTAACTAGCCAATCCTCAAACTTAATTATTACTTGTTCTTGACTAATCCTAATATCAAAGATATTGACCACTCAAAGCTAACTTAAGGTATCATAGGAAATGGATATATAATTAAGTTAAACCAAAACTTAAAAAATGATGTTAATATTTATAGGTTAATAATAACCTACCAATACAAACTCTAATGTGCTTTGGAAATTGATTAAATTTCATTTAATCAATAAATTCCTATGAAATTCTATAGCTAATCACTTATATAAGCTTAATTCAGGCTCTCGTATTCTAGATACACCACTCATTACTTTCAATTGATAAACTTCTTAACTTCCTTAGATGGAAGAAAAAAATAAAGTATCAATCTTCTATTGAACTTAATCTCAAGTATATTCTTATTTACTCCTCATAATTGTTTTGCTCTCTTAACTTTTTTACGATCATTTAACAATTTTTCCTATATTCTTTTTCTTTTCTTAACGAGTGTTATTTTTTATCAAGTTTATTTATGATTTTGAATACCTTGCTATTCCTTTCTTCTAATTATTATTTTAGTTATCAATTTTAATTATAAATTTTATAGTTTAGAAAATACTCATCATTTTTAATTTATATAATCTCACCTCATGTAAAATTTCACTGTTATTGAATTAAATTCTATTTTTGTTAATATGTTAACTGTAAATTAAGAAGTTTTAAACTAGCATAAATTTAATAAATTTATGAGATAGTTATTTTTAATTTAATAAAAATTTTACACAGTGTAAATTATTTAATTTAAT